TCATATTGATTTGGAAGGACTTCTTTGAGGAGACTTTGCTGGACATTTTGAAGGGCTCTTGGTTGGACTTTTTGAAGGGTTCTTAGCTGGAGTCTTCTCAGGAGTCTTGTCTGCAGGGTTTTCTGGAGTCTTGTCTGCTTTCTTAAAGAAAGTGCCCAAGGAAGTTTGGACAGATGTTCTCCAGGGAGACGGGTGATGCAGCGAACTTGTTCACTGGCATGGCTTGGCGTCAGATCAAGCATTGTAAAGTCGAAACTGACATCAGAAAGTTGAAGCAGGGTGTCAATTTATAAACACTGTAAGTGCGAAACGTTGTAACTCGAAATGTTGTAAGTTGAGGACTGCCTGTATAGTGGTACTATACGGCACAGCACAGTACTCCTGGATAGTAGGAGCCCATGGTGCAAGGTTCTGTGCAAACACTGAACAAAATGGTTCCTGCCCGAGAGCTTGGAATCAACACAAAACAAGAGGCAGCAGCTGGATACAAACCAATGTGAGTGTAGCAGGAAACAGTGAGACAGTCTCTATGCACCTCCTGCCCTGCTTCATCAAAGTCACCATCTCTGTCATGCCACCATCCAGGTTTATGGCCAGATCTCCTGCAGAACTCAGTTCCTAGTAAGGTCACTAAACCACATGGCCATATTTAAAAATGTGCCTCACTCCCAACAGTTGCCACTGGGGAACAGAGGTTTTTAAAATCTGGTGACTTTGCTTCAGTGCCTAGATGGAAGCCGGGCTCTTTGCCTGTCTTATGCTGAAGGTCAGGCTGGATGGTTCCTTCTGGCTTCATCTGTGCATGAGTCAATGACAACCCCAGGCCCTTCACACTTACCCTTAACAGCAGTTCTTTGCAACATTTCATAAGGACTCTCCATGCTTCTCACGCTCATTATGAGTGCTACCGAGGTCACCTCCACTGGAGTATCTGTGTGGAGATAACGCACGTTAAAAAGACTGATCCACTCATTTTGCTTAGATAGAGCAAGTTAAGACTTAATAAACACAACATGTTGAGTTTTGGAGTGACGTAAATGTGCAGCCTGTGCAATCAGATAAAGCACCAAGAGACTGGAAGCCCTGGGGAGAAGAAAGATGATGGTTTCTTACAAAGGAAACACTGGGGTTCCTGTACAGAAGGATTTTTTGCGTTTGAAATCTTCAGCCCTGTCAATCTGTCTGTATCACTCCTAGCAAATTCACATTGGATTGGCAGCTGCGAGTCATGTGCTGAGAGTACACAGAAAAGACCTGTCACTTCCCATCATTCACTGGGGAAGGACTTATCTCACTGGAGAGCTCTCCCAGCTGGGCAGGGCCCTGCCGCTATTTGCACTCTGGCACCTTCCAGAGAGTTTTAAAGAAAAAAGTAGTCCCTAATGATAGGCACTTGGGTCTTGACCTGCGCAAGGGGGCAGAGAGTCAGCTAACCTGTTGCTTCTGCCCACAGGAAGTAAAGCAATGAGCTGAGCTGCCCCAGCTGACTTCACTCTTCCCTGGAAAGCTCAAAGAGGCTGATCTGCATCTGCTTGGGAACAGGACCCATTGGTTACACAGCTCTAGGAGCTTTGTACTTCTCTCAGTGGCCTGCCTGTGGCATCTGCATTTCCCTTTAGCCTGAGGGAGATGAAAAATGGGGATGGTGCACTGGGGGTCACTTGTAGTCCACGCAAATCCCAGCAGTCACTGAGAGACGTGCACACACCACACACCCAGGCCCTAACCAGGTGCCAGAGACACAGCAGTGACCCTCTCCTCTGCCCCAATGCCACAGCCCTCCTTCAGAAAGGAGCGACCTGGGATACATCTCCAGGAGCAGGGTACAGGCTGCACACACAATCCTCAGGGTGCCTGCTGCACTGAAGCACCGGGGCCTTCTGCTTCCCAAAAAATAGCCCCCAGAAACATGAAGGAAAGTCTCCATGCACTAGGACTAGGACTGAGACATTTAGCACACCCAAACACTTGCGGGCAATGCAGTCACACCTGCCACAGTAGCAAGTCTTATTCTAACCAGCAATGGGAGGTGGTGCACAGCTCTACACGCACAGAGGACAGCTTCTCTCTTCCAGGCTTGCTTCCAGCCTCTTCTGGTCTGATTTCTTTCTCCCTGGGGGAAATGGTGCTACCTGGATAGATGGGTGCTATTACTGCCTCCCTTGAGAGCTGTTGATTAAAATTAATGCAGCAAAATCTCTCAAAATCCTGTAAGCGAACTTCTAGCATGCCACACAAGCTGTCCTTCCTGGCTCCCACACAAAGGAGAATGCTACCTATCCCCGATCTGGTGATGGGTACGTCCTGAGTGAGATGTGATGGCTTCCAATCTTCTGAAGGTCGGAGCGTTTAACTGAGAGTGAGTTGCTTTGCTCTTCATGTGATTATGTTGCCTCTCTGGATATCAGGCTAAGTCAATTAAGTCGCTCATTGCTGTCTCTGCAGCTTAAAACTAAATTGCCCAAAGTTTGTTTAACACAGCAATTCATTGCTCAACAGTTCAGTGCCTGTGGGGGGAGGTGGAAACGAAGCAGTCTGCTAAGCTGAGAAATACAGAGGGCTGCCTGTGCAACATGCTGCCCTGCAGAGGTTGGTTTGGGGTGTCGGGGAGATCCATCTCCAGCTCTACTCAGCTAGAATAAGGTCTGCAATGCCAGGCCTCTTGGTTGGGGGAGAGGTGGGATGGTGAGGTGAATTCTAGGGAGCAGAAGATCAACAGTCAGAACCGTTTCATGGAGATATTCCCCCTGTGGCTGCTCTGCCAGACTCAATGAGCAAGAAGCAGATTATGGGTCTGATGCTCTCCTCAAATTTGCCTCCCTGGGTACCTGCTGTTACTTCACCAACTTGCTGTGTTTATAGGTTTGGGATTTCACAGCTCCCCTTTCATTGATTTGACAGTGGCAGCATGGGTCTGACTCTGGAAAAGAAGAAGCCATGGAAGCACACCAGAGCTGAGCAGCTCGTGGGCAAGAGCAGAGCAGCACGGGTGACTGATACGATGTTCACAGAGAGAGTCAGGGATTCAAGATGCTGGCGGGTTGAGCTCTGAGGAGTTTTGTTGCTTCTTTGACAGAAAGATGCCCAAGGTGGAATCTGTCAAGGATGACAGGCTGGTGGAGCGGAAGCCTGACCATCGAACTGACAATGAATGTATTAGGAAAAGGTGGAGCAGTCGTTCCCAGGTCAGGCCCTACAGGATTGGCACCAGCCCTTTGTGAAGAGACTGGCTTCAGTGGGAACTTGCAGGTAAAAAGTCAGAGGGTTACAGAACAGACCTACCTCCCTGGGCACCTTGGAGCCTCTTCCAAAGGAAGGAGAGTTTGGAACATCTTGCCATGGATGTTCAGGGCTTAGCTTGTACTCCCCTGGGACCCTGGCCAAAGGAAATAGACTGATGGCTTTTTTTCAGCTTCTGCTCAGCTCCATTGTAAGGTGCCAAAAGATGCTAACAGGTTTGGCAAGGCAGAGCCTGAATCCAGTCAAAAAGCTCCTTTCTTGTTTATTAATCCTTGAAAAAGGTTTAATATTTTGTTCAAAACATGCTCACCCCTAAACTGCTAACCCTTCCCTCCTCCCCCACCCCTCAACAGGAATTCTTCACCTTCAACCTCTTTATGCTCCAGACCACTGCTAGGAGTTTGGGCGGCAGATAGTGGTATCCACTCCCACACCGCATAATCACAAGCATGTCCCTGTACTTTTGGTGGCAATAAACAACCCCAGGACAACAGGCAAGCCACTAACATGGCAATGCACCCAGCAGAGGCACCAGTTGCAGCAGGGACCATGGCAGCTGGCAGAAGGCCTGAGAGCAACATGCACCAGCTACCAGAGGTTGGACGGTGACACGGTCTTCCTTGGCATAGCAAAGGCAGTGCAACATGCCAGCAGCAGGAAGCTCTGAATGTAAATGCACTCCAAATTCTTCCAGCACCAGCTCACATGTGAGGCCAAGCATCAAGCCTCAGCATTCAATGGTCCTAGCTTAGACTCACACAGTATTCATCCATTAACCACATCATCATGGCTCCAGGGCCAGAAAGCAGCCCCAGGCCATTCCTGACTGGTGCTGAACCCTTTCATTTGCACTGACTGCAAGGGCGAAGGAGACCACACAGCACCTGGCAGGTCACCCTGACAAGTCAGGGCCTGATTCAGCTAGTACTTCAAGGAGGCCTCAGGGGCTGCTTGTGTCCTTAAAGGATCTTAAAGAATTGGGGCCTGAGTAAACACTGAGTCACTGCCATGGCATGGTGCTAGAGGGCAGCCACCTCCTGGGGATGCCATCTGACATCCTGCCAGCTGCACTCAGTAAGAACACTGAATACTGGCACCTGAGCCAAAGCCCAGTCAGGTCACTGCATCCTGCCCCAGCAGCTCCTCTGCAGTTAGTGACATGCAGAATTTTTCTTCACCTCTTGTCTCAGGCTGTGGCACACAGATAAAGAGTTCAATCACACTGACTTACTAGGTCCTGCTGGTGTCTAGCTCTGCCTAGGACGCAACCACAATGCCAATCTCAGACACACTAGAAGACGGGCAGAAAGAAAATGAGAGAGACTGCAGGAACCACTAGGAGGGAGTCAGTTTGTCTCACTCCTGAGATGGCTGTATTTCAAGCGGTGGCATGACATGAGTGACAGTGATTCGATGGTGTGATGTAGCAAATTGCAAAGCTGATCACAGACTCCGTTAGCAACTGTTTGTCATGGTGCAGAGTGGAATGGTACTGCCTCCCAGGGAAGGGGTCCAGACACACAAGTATTTGAGGCACTGCCTTTAAACTTGCAGAAGAGAGGGAGGATCAATGATGGGAAAAGACTGGTTATTGCTTTATGGTTGCTATGGCATCTGTTCTCAATATTCTGATACTTATGCCTCTGAGACAGTCCTCAGACCAACAGGACTGCATCCTGCCTCTCTAACAGGCACTCTTCAGACAGAACCAATCGACAGAGCAGCCTTCTCACCCTGACTGCATACGAGGGAAGACGCAGGAGGCTCATTCAATTCTAAACCATCTGCCGCCCCATGAATAAAGGCAACAGCAGCTCCCAGACAATGAAGCACAGATCATTTCCCAGCTTAACCACTTCAGCCATGGCGCAGGCAGGAGGATTCCTGGGGAGGGGACCCCAAGGTCTCACACAGGTGCAGCCACACCAGAAGTGCCTACCTACTCACTGCATCATCAGATGGAAACAAGGTGTTAGGACTGAGCAACACTGCTTGGGAATAGAAGATCTGAAGAGAGCAGTCAGTGATCCTCCGCAGCCCTGAGTGCATCCCACAGTACAAGTGTTGCCGCATCATGTCTTCAGATGAGGAACAGGCTGAAGGAAAGTGGGGATTTGCTCACAAAGCAGCGTGCCTCACCTCAGTTACTCCCTGTGATTATTCGCTGGGGACTGTCAGGGCTCCTAGCTGGGCAATCAACATTTTGGTAGCTTTGTGCTAACAGTAAAGGAACAGCACCCCAATCTACCCCACACTGCATCATCAATAGACCATCTCTGTTTGTGAAGTGTCCAGAACTGTGGGGACCTGGTTTCCAGCTGCAGCCCCTAGGCCCTGTCATAATACAAATAACAGCATCTCAGTGCATCAGTGTGGTTATAAGTGCTTTCCGAAGACATCCTAGGCCAGTGTGAGCTGAAGGGGCTGTGGCAAGAGCTCTTCTGCCACAATTGCCTGACGCAACCTTTGCACCATCTAGTCTGTGCATGGAGGGAACTGGACAAGGAGGAACTCAGCCACAACCTTAGACAGGACAGTGCTGATTAAAGGGTTTCTCCTTTGAGAGACTGGGAGAAGTAGCTTTTCTCTCTAGGGCTGATTCGATGATGCCTGTGCACCAAAGCCTCTCCTTGATTTCCCCTGGCATTTTGAATGTGCAAGGAATACAGACCTGGTTCCTGTGCCTGTGACATAGAAGCTGCTGCAACGTCTCCTGAAGAAAGTCCTCAGCGTGGCCAGAGGGGGAGATGGAGATGCTGGAACAGAAGACACCAAAACGTCAACCACGGAGGACAAGATCACAGCAAGGAAAACATAGGCAACGGTGTAGGCAGTTACTGAGGTAACTGCCTACGCACCACTGCTCTCTGTTTCTTAGCAAAAAACTACCTCGGGTTATATCTGGGAGATATAGGAATGCATTAATTGAATGTGCACCTAATAACCTACACCTAAACTTTTTTTTGTTGAATCTGCTGATGGCAAATAATTCATAGTTTTACTTTATGTTCAAAATATATCCTGTGTTGGTCAGGACAGGTGCACTCTGACCCATGCCAGTGGCTTGTGCCATTTTATTTCTGGCCAGACTTAGACAAACACAACAGTATCCTCAGGTAGCACAAGTCAGTCAACATGGTTGCACTGCCCATGGCTCTTTTCAAAGGACTGGAACAGCAAATTTAGGGAGTGTAAAAATCTTTGATCTTATGGTCTCATTCTGTGCTGCAGAAAGCAGGGACCAATCACCCACACAGTCAAATGGGTCTCCAGC